CAAATGAAAGACGGAAATGTTCCGTTTTGTTTGAAATTGTCTACACACCGATTTAGGACAAAGCTATGCATTATACCATCAATAACAATTAAACAAATTCGTAATGTATTACGAGAAATTCAAAATAGAAAATACTAATGATTCATGAATTATCTTTGTGATACATACATATTTATATGCATAGAAAATAGATCCCTGTGAAGTTGAACTTTTTGACTAGCATATTTATGAATCTATAAAGTAGTGTATTATTGTTCATTACTTAAAGTTGTTACTAGGTAAAAGTAAAAATATTTGATTTTTCCACTAATGTAATTTCAATGTTGCCTTCGAAAAAAATTTTACATGATTATTCCGAATCCATCAAAGTCGAGTTTCGAAGTCTGATGTAAGGCTCTAATAGAAAATCAATTTTTGTTAGTTTTAGTCAAGAGAAGAAGATCTATCCATCATCTATGATATAGGATTTCAATAAAATTCTAGTAACCGTAAATTAAACGATTGGAAGTTGAAAAATATAATTATTGCAAAATCACAGAGAAATTCATAGTCAAAATTTAAAAATCGTTTTTTTTTTATGTCAATGGGATGATTCTTTTACAGTAATCGATTTTATTGTTGTATTTTGTGGAACAGTAGCGGCAGGTGGTGATGTTAATAGTTGAAGATCAGAGTATCGTTGTTTCCAACCACGTAGCTCTTGTGATAATGCTTCATTCTCACGTCGCAATCGAGAGATCTATTTAATAAATATACGAACAAGATTTTTTTTTTCTTCTTTTTAATATTTTCATTTACCTGTTCCAATAATTCACTTCGTTCAACAGATAAATTACCCACCATCGATGTTTGTCTATGACGACTACTTGCTGCATAACCTTTATTTTTAAGAATACGTCGTCGACGTTTAATAGTTGATGCTTCATTTGGTTTCAATGATTTTAATAATGTATTTAATTCTTTAACACTCATTGTCATAATTTGATGATCATCAATCTTAAGAAAAAAATAATAATATTTTTAATCATAATTATCAATTTAACATGTAAAATAAGTATACTGATGGAGACTCGTCTAATCGTTCATTATCGTTGATATCATGTTTTATAGTAGTCATGATTAAGTATTAGAATCTGAAATTTTAAAAAAAATGTTTATCAATATCGAACCGTATATAGATTTTATAAATATTACTTCAAAAATCAAGAATAAAGATGTCAACTAGTGCACTTACCTTGTTAATGTTTACTTATTATCATAAATTTAGTGATGAGCAACTTACTTATAATACATATAGGATTCAATATTATGTTTAGAGATGATTAACTATTAATTCAAATAAGAGTAGTGTATAATTAAGTTTCCTTCTTATCATTGTTTGTATGTATGTTTTTAGTCTAATGCAATCTTTTATTAAGCAGTTGAAATTTTGTTTTTATTGTGAACTAATTATCTATATATTAGATTTGTTTCATTAATCGACGATTATTTTGTACAATGATATATAAAAATTGATGTTGATGTATTTATCTAATGTATCACGAGTATTTGAATGTAGTCTCGAAACTTGACAAATAATTATTAACAGTATGAAATCATTATTTGTATTAATAATACAATAAACAATATATTTTTCTTAACATGATTATTGTTCACTTTTATAAATATTTGAGCTTAATCTTTAATCATATGTTTTCATTTTTTAACTTGCACCAAATTATTATAAAAATACCTGAATAAATAAAGATCAATTGCTTTTTAAACGAATTTGTGAAATTCGTATTCATCAATGAAAAATTGTCTTATGATTAGAGTGAGACAAAAAAAAACGAAGTAAAAGATATCCGTTATTTTTACCGTTTTCAAAACAATCAAATTCTACTCTAGTGTAAAAAAAACATAACAGAAAACAAAATAAGTATCATTTTAAACAAAGAAAACGAAGTCAAAGCGATTTATTCATTGGATTGTGGTCAGAAAATTATTTTTTTATTTCATAAAATGACAAATTCTATCATATGTTTCTTCAATGGGAAATCAGGCCATATGACAATATGACACAATTCACATATAAAGAATGACCTGAGCGAGATTATTTAACAATTATATTGAGTTCGATTACAATGGAAAGTTTTTCAGTCTATCAGAAAAAATTGTTTGAATAGATATATAATGCTCGTCTCAATTTTCATTAAATAACTAATTCTATCTGTTTGATAACTTGCTAAAATACACTTAAATCGGAGATTAAACTGATCGAATCAACTACTGATGTTGTTACTAAATTTAACAATATTATAAATTCCACAATATAATTGAGTATAAAGTGTTTAATTTAATCTTGAAAAGCTTCAAAAATAAATATAGTTATCAGAGAAGATGATTATTAAAAGTTGACTGAGATCAGTTAATTAATATTCAAAAAAAAACCCATACTGACTAATGTAGTTAACTTCTGCATTAGTATCTATTTGTGGGACAGCACAATTTTCACACGAAATAAATCACGTTTCAAGCGAACAAAGAGTGACATAACAACACGCTTACTCAGTAAGAGGTAGCTCATCATGCTGATGATGCATTCTTTGACGACGCATGTTTTTTTGGATATGATTGGGCTCACCGAAAAAAAAGAAAGGTGAAACAAAAGGAGAAAATTTTTTCTTACATAATACCTACTCTAAACAAGATAAGATTGAGTCATTGATAATCTATTTATGTTCGAAATAGAAGCCATAGTCAGGTTGGGTTTGTTAAATATTATTACTCAGTCATTAATAAAAAACAGCATTGCTCGATTACTAGACCAATCATAAAAAAAACCATTTCAAGATGTCAGTGAGAACTTGACAGAAATAAACGTATGATTGTAATAGTTTCGGATGCGTCGTATTTTTTTTTTGTTCACTAGGCGTTTTAGTTATGCAGAACTAATATTTTAGGATGATATAGATCACTTAATTCCTTTAGAATGGGATTAGTTTTGAAGATAATGGAACGTTTTGCATAGCCTCCAGAAGAACTAATCGATTAATAAATATCATGAAACCAACCCTTATGTGATTTCGACATAGAAATTCGAAGTATATTGAACATTACGAGAGTGGCTTTTTCTCGCAACTCTTTGGCTTTGCATTTCATCGTAATGAACTTCCTCGTCTTGTAAATTCCAGCTTCTTCTTTCATCAATGCATGAGTACACAGCTGTTCTTTAACGAACTAGATTATTAGTGCTACGAAAACACAGCCTAATTGTCAACAAATGATATTTTTTCAACACGAATATGCAGAAAAATAAAGAAAAAGTCTCATTAAATTTACTGAAATTTTCCTGATATTTTCTTTACAGGTTTCGAACTTTTTCTCGCATCATTTCTTAGAGAAATTTAAGTATTCTTTTTGGAAAAAGTTTTGTGCAAAATTTGTAGTTCTAAGTTCTAAAAGTTAGTTTTTCAAAACACAGATGAAATACTGGAAAAATTAATTACATTGGAATGAAGTCGTTTTAATCGTATGATCACCTAGAGTATGTTGAGATATATGTATGATAAAAATTTTCACGTGTGTGAAATAAACCATTTCCGACAAAACTGATACGTTTCTGACTGAGTAGTGTTAGCATCAAAGTAAAGCAGAATACGCTACAAGATGGACGATGTTTAGAGCAGATGCAAAAAGTTTGATTGCGTAGCTCACTAGCAATTTGGCCGTTTTTCTCATGTAATGGCTCATGAGAACAGAAAAGAAATAAAAGAAGATAAAGAGCAATAACAATATCATGAGAGACACTCATAAGTCAGTTACGAGTTGATTCAAAACTATCAAGTATATATACGTGACCGATCTTGAAGGGGTTAATACCATTACTTCATTCAGAATAGTCTGTAATGTGTGTACGAACAGTAGATAGAATCTTTAAAAAAAAATATTGACGACTTTACAGAATCAGACTTGAACGTTGCTACCAGTTTGAATAATTGTCTTTGTAAACATGTATCTTGTTAAAAGATATACTGAAGAACCTCATGGTAACAATCTTAATATAGAACAAAATGGACTCTATTATACTTCCTATTTCTTCTCGATCAATTAACTAAATATATCTATAGGAGCATAGCTAAGTTATAAGCTTCTACTTTATTTTCATAGTTACAATAGAGAGTGTATAAAATAAATTCTCTGTTGATTCGATTATGCGACTACTTGAAAAAAATCTTGCATAAAATAAAATAAACAAATAATGTATGGTTTCATATAATAATTTTTATATTCCAGAAAGGAAAACAAAAGATGGTATCTTGATCAGACTTGTCATTGAATACAAGAAGCTTTAGTTATTCTATTATTATTCATTAACATTACAATCTTTTTCAAACTTTCGCTGCATATTTGTTTATACAGCATGAAAGAAAAAACGAAATTTGATTTGTATCTCTAAAATGTTGTTGTTATCATTTGATCACTTTCTAAAACCATAAGCAACAATGATTATCAACATGTTGACAAAATAAGGGTATGTTTTTGATTGCGGACATTTTTCCTTAATTCTGAAGGCACAAAAAATTTCCACAAAGCAGAATCGGAGGCAAAAAGTGGGCGCACATTGGAAAATGTTCACAATGCTAAATTGTTGAATTTTAAACTTTCATAAAAGAAAATGCTTCAGATTAAATGTTTATTGCATTACAAAATATTCTATTTCGATATGAATACATATGTTTTTTTTTACTATTATCAATCAAATATCATATAATGAATACCAATAATATTTTGTCGCTGATTTCATTATCTCTTTATATTTCTTAATAGATAAAAACTCATTCATTAAAATGCTCAAGTTGAGTTATTCATATATAATACGTTTATTATTAACCAATGAAATACAAGTTGCATTGACGGAGAGAGGTTGTCGCTCAGTTTTTTTACTCTTGTTTCTATGTCTATGGTCATTTAGCATTTCATTTCCTATTTTGTTAGTCTGTTATTCTAGCGCATTACATATGGAATTCAAGTAAGTCCTTGTTTTTCATCATGAACTTTTTCAATTTCAAACATTTTCTTCGTTAGTTTTACCAGTTCAATATTTCCTAAATCGACAAAATCATCCAAAGATCGACGTCATGAATTAACTCCAGAAGAAAATGATGAAATTAAAGAAGTATTTGAATTGTTCGATAATGATAAAGATAATGAACTTGATTATTATGAATTCAAAGTATAGTTCTCTAATTTATTTTTTATTCAGCATATCTTTGTCTTTTCTCGACTAGATTGCACTTCGTGCATTAGGTTTTGATATTCATAAAACAGAAGTAGAAGGATTGATGCATGATTATGACCGACAAGGAACGGACAAAATAACTTATCATGATTTTCATGAAATTGGTAATTGTTAATTCAGTTTTAGGGTACTCTTCTCCCATTTTGTGACTAAAATGTTTTTTTTTGTGGACATTGTATAGTCTTAAGTAGTATCTATCTACTGAGTACATTTGAGATCAAAAAATCGTCTTTTAAACGTTAAAAAGTCGAGATGAAATCAAATTTATCTAACGGAAATAGCGAATTGCGTTTTTCTTAAACCAATTTGTTCATGAAAAGAAGTGCAGAAGTGCTCCTGTTTCTCCAGCTTAATACATCTGATCGAGCTGGAACTTTTTGCACATATAATATACATTATTTCGAATGGGTTTTTTTTGTTTCAAACAATATTGTTCTGCTGATTTTTCGTAGCTCTAATAAAAAAATTCAATTTGAAACAGATATGCTTCGTTTAGGGTGCCTTCGATATTCTGACTCTTTTTTTGTTCGAAGGACAAACAATAAAAAGTTACCAATCCCCAAGAGTGTTCACTATTCATTTCAAAATATAATGTGCTCCACTGGTTTGTGGATAACTTTCGATAGGTACATCATAGAGACCTACGGTTTTCACCATTCAAGAGAGAAGATCCTAAGGCACCGACGAATATTGAAATTTGATTGTTCAACAATCGATCTATCAGGTGAGTTCTTGGTGGAGATTTTCGAAAATGATATTCTGAAGTTATTTTCCTTTCGATTTAGACTTTTAATAGGAATAATTGATAGTAAAAACTCTTCTCTTTTGATGTATACAAACCCGACGTTCATCGTCTGTTTCGTTCGAGAGTTATGAGAATCTCATAGAAGATAGTATCCGGAAACTTTGAGTTTATGACAACTTTTGCTCTACTTGTCAAGATTTATCTGCTTTGAAAATTTCAAGTTTTTTTTTTTGATGAGTCGTTCTCAGGGAGGGGTTGCTACTTAAAAGCATTCCAATCAATGATTCAAATTAATTTTTTTGTCTTGATTAAGCTGCCGAAATGGTACTTCGACGTGATCTACGTGATGAAATTCTTAAAGCTTTTAAACTTTTTGATGATGATGAAACTGGCAAGATTTCATTGAAAAAATTACGAAGTGTTGCACGGTAAAGAAAAAACAAACAATAAATAAGAAATAGATCGATTGCAATAAAATGGTATATTATTTACAGAGAATTAGATGATAATGCTAATGAAGAAGAACTCAAAGCAATGATTGATGAATTTGATTTAGATGGTGACGGTGAAAGTAGGAGATTCTTATTTGTTTTTCAATATTCAATAATTCTGACTTTCTTTTCTAGTTAATTTTGATGAATTTATGGCTATGCTTAGTTCAGACTAATATGTATACAATGAATAAAAAGAGTCAGATAATATCATTTTTTTTCCTTTTTTGTACGCATGTTAACTCTAGATGTGTTTTTTTTTGGCATAAAAAAGTTTTAAATATGTGATTTTGACTGTGAAGTTTTTCAATTTTAATATTAACGTATATTTTTTCTGTTAGATAAAAATGTCAAGTGACGATTGGCTTGATAATGAACCGACAACAACAAAAAATGTAAGTTTTTCACTTAATTTATTTTGTTTTTCGTCTATTTATAAATATGTCTGCTCTCAATAATTAGTCCAAAAAGAAATCAAAAGGAACAACACGTATACACGATGAACCAATTGATGAGACATTTGATACCTTACTCGAAAGTGCTTCAAAGGTGATAAAAGCACTTTCATTATATAATAATAATTTATTTCTAACATAACATATCAATAAAATTAATTTCAGTTTTATTGAATATGTATGCAATAAAACAATGCACTGTATTCCTAATCATGTTTGTGAGTACTAATATCATAATAATTTAGAAAATAATAATAATAATAATAATAATAATAAATAAAATGATATTAATTATATATGCTTTGCTTCAAATTTATTTTATTATTAATCTACAGAAAAGAAATTACATAGAGATTTTCTTGTATTTTATAGTCTGCTAATCTTACAACATCATCAAAACCAAAATCAAGTCGACGATCTATTGTTGAAGCAACAAGTGGTTGGTCAAATGATATTAATGATGAAAATGACAATTTGTATGTTATTTATTATTTAGAATAAAATTTTAATATTTATATTAAAAAATAAAAAACTTGAATATTATAGAGATATTTCAACTATACCTGCGTCTCAACGTCCTATGATTCGACAAAGTAATCGACGAGCAGCAGAAGAAATTATTGCTACAGGTAAATTATAAAATAAAATCAATACTTAATAGATCTCGAAATCGAACTACGTTTTGATGGTCCAGTTCAACTTAAGAGTGGAACTATAAAAAGGATTTATAAAAGATTGAATGTCACAATCATTGTAGTCATTTATGGAAACATTGTAAAAAGTTTATCATCATAGTTATCACAAGTTGAATACGGCTGAACTATTCTAATGCTTGAAAAAACACTATGAGAGATAAGTTGAATTACTTATTGAATCGATAGAGTAAGATGCATTCGTGGGTACTTCAACTTCTTAATGACTATCATTTATTAACATAAGCTTTGACAAGTATAATACCTGCTGATTAATTTCAAAGAGTCAGATCAGTTGCTATATTCAGTACACAGATTGAAATGGCGCTATTTAATTCTGGTTGAAATCGGATGTCTCTGCTTTAAAGATAGATTTCAATTGATTTTAGCTTCTCTTTTTTTTGATCGATTAATGTAGTTTTATCGATTGAAATTGTCTTTTTTTTAAAATCGATTAACAAAGATTAAAATCAAATGAAACCTATCTTCATAGTTGAAAAATCAGGCTTTTTATCCTATAGAATTAATAGTATCATTTTAATTGAGTTCTTTCGTACGTTGGAAACCTTTCTTGAACAAATAAATAAAGTTTCGATCGGGTGGTCCATTTCGAGTCCTGATACTTGCTCTATTTATTTATTTATTTACTTTTTTCATTCAAAATAGATATTCCAACAATTCTTATGGATGATGCTGAAGGTGATGATACAATTGATATGACTCCACAAATAGCTGTTGCTCCTGAGTAATTAACCATACATTGATAATTTTATCTTAGGAAGAAATTTTTCTTTAGATTTTCTGTTAATCAAATAGCTTCATTCAAAGAAATTGAACATGAATTTTCTCGTGAACGTGCTAGTCAATATATCGTAAATATAAATATCAAATAAATATTTCAAATATATATATATGCAGATATTTTTTTTGTAATTAGGATAGCAAAATTGATATTGGTATATTATATCATAATCTTCATTTACAAGAAGACCTTGATGCTGAAGTAACATTTTATCATTTCTTTAATTTTTCTTTCGTTTTTTTTTTAAAATATATATTTCATCTAGGATCAAAAACCTTGGGATTGGGACAAACTCTTTGTTGAAGTTCGAAATTCTATAACCAATCCAACAATTGATTCCTAATATCTTATCTAATTTTATTTTCAATATAAATGTATAAACAATAATAAATTCCACAAAAAAAAAATCACTATTGAAAAAAAATGAAAACAAAACAAAAAAAAACTCGTCTAAAAAAATAAATTCACATATAACATCTTATAATACCTGTTCTAAGATTAAAACCAATAAGTATTTCTTTATTAGGTCCAATCACTACACCTAAACAATATTTACCTTCAATTCGTCCAACAGATTGATTTTTTGTATTAAAATGTATAAATAAAGAACGTTTTACAGTTCCATCAAATGACCAATCAAATTTAAGTAATAAACTATTATCACGTGGAAATAAACCAATATCCCATATATTCATACTTGTACCAGCACTGAAATGACTTGTAAATATTCGTTCACGAGAAATTTTATTATAAATAAATACTTGTTGTAAATCTTTACTAAGTATAGCTAATAATTGATGATTTAATGCAATACGAAATGGTATAAAATTTGATTTATTATCAAATGAAATAAAATTATCACGTTTTGAAAGTATTGATGATATTTCATGTGTAAATAATGGTTGTGCATGATAAAATATTGTTTGTGTTATTGAATCAATAGCCCATAGACGATTTTCATCTGCAAGATATTGACGTATAGGATTTGATAATTGAACAGGTCCATGTTCAAGTATTCCATCATGTGTAAAGAAAAAAAGTGAACCATTATCATATTTTTGATGTACATGTAAAAGCATATAACGATTAAATACAGTAAAAGATTGAACAATAATATGAATTTGTTCAGGAAAAAGATTAAATGATCGAATATAACGTGGAGAATCATATGTAACTGGTGAAATATATGTTAATAATGATATAATACCATTTGTACTACAACTAAATATTATGGTTGATTTACCAACTGGATAAATACATAGATGAGTGGGAAGTGCTTTAATAATTACTGTCCACATAGGTAATTTTGGTGGAATTGATTGAAGTGATGTATCACCATAAGCATTTATCATTGATTGATCAGATGATGAATTTGGTATTTTAGATTCGAATTCGATTGGTTTGAAAAGAAGTTCACCAAATATTTTGCTTGATGAATTTTCCATTGGAGCACTAAGTATTGGTATCTAAAATAGGATTATATTTCACTTGAAGATTTTCGGAAGTATTTTCTTTTTTTGATAATAATATTTACATAAATGATCATTCTTTTTTTTTCTTTGTGAAACTCACATTAATCGTGATGAGGAATAACAGGAAAGCAAATTGCGATTGGATACCTTCTCAGAGTTCCTTAGCAACGGAAAAAGGCGTTAATCGAGGCGCATCGGTGAGGATGATCATCGGTACATCGAGCTAGACATGCAAGTATAGAATAACGATGAAAACGAAGCATTTCTCGAACGAGAAAATCGAATTCACAGATTTTGACAAATTTTCTATAGATTTCGGATTCTTTCACTCCCGAAAACCTTTAGCATATTTTTATAAAATCCAGCTATTTTCTTCAAATGGCCTCTTTGTCCGAAAAAAAAATTGGAAATAATTCAAGACTGTCATAGTTTTATCATATGTTTATCGTCAGTCTATACGTACATGTTTACACATGTACAAAGCTTTACATAAGGTTGGTATCATCGGTAAATGGTGCACCGTCATCGTTGCATCTCTAGGCGTTGAATGGCATTAACAATAAGACTTAGATTATTCTAGAACATTCTAAAGCTTTCCTCAAAATTTGAATGGCAGAAGTATGTTCTAAATAGTACAATTTTTGATTTTGGCACAGATAAATATTTATATTCAAGACACCAAGCGTGAACTGATCAAGTTATAACTTTAGAAAAATAATCAATATAAGCCTTTTTAAGTATATTAAGATATATTATAGTGCGTTGCAGACATGATATCGGTTCAATTTCAAGAAAAATACGAACCGATCTCATCTCTGATGCGTTGAGACCTACTATAGATATAATGAACATACACAACAAGCTTATTTGCTAGTTAAAACAATGGTTAGAATAATAATGATGTTAAGGTAAGAAATACGGAATACGAAAACGAAAAGAAACAAAAAAAATCGAGCGCCAGTAAAGAAAGAAACCATTTCTGTGTTCAGAATTCAGAAATAAATAAGATAGTTCGTTTCCTTGACGGCCGATTATCCTTGGAAAATAACTATAGCCTGCGAGAGATCAAGGACACATGGGAGTTCCACATTATAACCTCAAAGGGATTTCGATGATAAGCTTTTTAAAGAAAAAGATTAAAATAACTAACTATATCTGCTTTATGTTTGAGTAATCGTAATTGTCGATCAGCTACATCATTTAAACGTTTAATTTCTTTGTCAACGTTGATATTTTCAAGAAAATCTTTGCTATTTCTACAATGTAATATAATCTAGATCAATAAACATATTATAAAAAGCAAAAAAAAAAACAGTATACCTTAAAGCATTTAATCGAGGTTCAATTGATCTGGATACTGCATTAATATCAATTGGTTGATGTTTCAATCTAGAAATTATTATTTTTTCTGTGTCGAAAAACAAATAAAGTAATCATATATATATATTTACGCATTAATGTCATTTGCTTTTTGTTGTATTGTTAATAAATTTTCAAGTTCTTCTTGATATTTATCAATTTGTTTACAAAAATGTCTTGTTTGTTGATCAATTATATCATATAATTGATTTGTTTGTTCATGAATTTTTTCTAATGATATCGATTTTTGATTTGTTATTAAATCTTCACAATTTTCTATTGTTTTCATTATTTTCTTTTTAATATTTTCATTATCTATTTGACATTTTTTACATAATTTTCCATTATTATCACTTATATAATGATTTTGACATGAATCACACATACGATGATTAT